CCCCCCGTAACGACTCGCGCCCCCCCCCCCCCCCGTAACGACTCGCGCCACCCCCCCCCCCCGTAACGACTCGCGCCCCCCCCCCCCGTAACGACTCACCCCCCCCCCCCCACGCCTCCCCTCAACCTATCATAGTTAAACATAATTTGAAACATAAAACGCGACTTTTCGCACCTCGTTTTCGACTTCAAATGAAACCTCGACTCTTAAAACATTATTCAGATGTCGCCTAAAGCTTCTGACAAGACCTGGAATCAAATTTCCACGTAGATGTCGTCTAAAACTGCTTTCCATGCGGCAAATGAAAGTTTTCATCTAAACCCCGCCTGAAATTGTCATCTAAACCACGTAGATATATACTGGGACGTCCCGGCTGTGGTTCATACGTCAGGCTGCGAGCAGCCGCGTCCAACAGTCTGGTTGATCAGTCCAGCAACCAGAGGCCAGATTCACGAAAGCACTTACGAACGTGTACATCTTTCCTCAATCTTTGACGGCTCAGGTTACATTTATTAAACAGTTTACAAGCATGAAAACTTCCCAATCAACTGTTATTGTTTTAAACGGCCTCCTGGTGCTTCGGAGCTCATTAACTGTTTAATAATTGTAAACAAAGCCGCCAAAGATTGAGAAAAGATGTACAGGTTCGTAAGTGCTTTCGTGAATCTGGCCCCAGGAGACCTGGTCGACGACCGGGCCGCGGGGACGTTGAACCCCGAAAACCCTTCAAGGTAACCTGTAGGCGGAGGGCGTGACTGCTGTCAACACCGTTCCTGGTATTGCACTAACCCGCTCCACTTGCAACAAAGATTAGTCTGCCTCGCAACACAACCTCTCGCCCACCCTTGACCTCGCCTGACCTCCCACGCCTGCACACTGCTTTCCAACACCTCGGCTCCTCTTGACCTTTGACCCCGACTGTGACCTAGTGCGACTTTTTCCTCTGAGCGAGTTTTCAACCCTCTCCAGACTTGCTGGATTTGACCTCGTGTTTAGGTAACGAGAAGACTGTGATTTGCCCAAATACATTTTACCCATGTAAATACACATTAGGGAGACTGTTTACAACAGTAGTAACACCTAATTGGGCAGTTTTGACGCTCGTAAACTGTTTAACTGCACATAAAGCCACCAAACATTGAGATGATGTACAGGTTCGTAAGTATTTTTGTACTTCCCATGAACAAATCCACAAGGGCCGTGACGAGGGTTCGAACCTACGTCCGAGAGGATCCCAGACGCTGCCTGAATCGACTGAGCTACGACATGGTTAAATGAATTGCAACCGGAGGTTCTGCTGACGTGAATCCTGGCTCGGGTGTGCTGGACCACCTGACATAGTATGAACAAGTGGAGCACGATTATGCAATAATCGTGCGATTATACAATAATTATACAATAATCGTCGATAACTATTGGTTATAGACGCTTTCTGCGACGAATGAAAAATATGGGAACACAAATTATCTGATATTGTGTAGTTTTCGGGTGCGACATTCTAGGGTCGTTAAATGTATTAGACTTGCAACCCCCCATGATGTATATTGCGACGTTGTCAAATGTATTAGACTTGCAACCCCCATGATGTATATTGCGACGTTGTCACTTGTTGATTATTGGAGGAGGGGGGGGGGGTGTCAGGTGTTGAGAAGGGTCCGGTACTGGACAGGTGTGGAGGTAGGTAGGTGTTGCCGGTGTGTACCTGTGCGGGACGTGTACAGTTTCCCAGCGTGACGTGACGTGACGTAAGGGCGAGTGTATACCGGTATTCCTAATAGAGCGTCGGACTTTTTGTTACATTCTTGTACAGCCACTAGTACGCGTAGCGTTTCGGGCAGGTCCCTGGAATAGCGATCCCCCGCCGCGAAGAATCGTTGTTACAACCAAGTACTCATTTTACTGTTGAGTTAAACAGAGGCTACAGTTAAAGATTTGCGCCCAGTAAATCCTCCCCACTTCGAGGTATACTCTACCTAAGGCCAAAAATCGTCGTACTAGAAAATGGTAACTGCTTGCGAAATTGACATACTGTCCCGTTTTCTGTTTTGGGTGCTCTGGGTAGGTTAGTAGAGAGGTACTTTAGCACAAGAGTTTCTTGACGTTGGGAGACATTAGGCGGTCGGACTGGCTTGTATACCGCGGGCTGCTAGTCGTGTTTTGTTAAGAATTGTATTAACATTTGTGTACTTTACTAATACCAAATCTTGACTTATATCTTGTGTATATATATCGCGGGCGAGGAAAGATGGCGTTATTAAGACGATGTGTGTTATCCTGCAGGTTGGCGGAACGGAAGAAGAATGAAGGGAACGACCTGTACAAGAACAAGGACTACAGAGAAGCCCTCAAGCTCTACACCCAGGCCATTGGTGAGTGTGCTCCTTCAACTCTCCTCAGATTCAGCTACTGGGCACAAAAGGTTCCAAGTAGCACGGGCTATGGTGAGCCCGTAACACACTCACTCACTTACTCCTGTCACCTGCAGCCTTCATATATGCATACACCACACCCATACATAACAAAGCTAATACAAGCACATTTGTATTAGATATTACAATTAGTTTAGTGGTGGTCATTTATTATGCACCCAATGGCGCTATACCCATCTGCCAACAGAAATGTATAAATACGGGACAATACCTTCTTGGTAGTGAAAAGGGTTGCAGAGGCACATAATGGGCTCAGGGACTGAACCCCCACAATTCATTTAGCTAAACAAGTTACAATCTTGAGCTAGTTACAAAATTCAATATAAGTCATCACATCAACAATGGGTTCGAGATCGACCTCAAGTACAGGTTCTAAGTTAAGCAACTTACATATGTGGTGAGCTAGTTTCATAAATTTATATGTTTATCCTGCACACCGCCCCCCAACCAGTGGGCAACGGTGGAAAGGTTACAATCACCCACATTTACTACCTGCCTTTAGTAAACTTGCGATATTTGCCAAAATTTTCTGGTAGTAGATCATTTTAAATGAAATATTTGCACATCGCTGGAACATTTGTTATAGAATTGTCTCTAAATTCACGTATCTTTTCGCACTCCATCACATAGTGACGGGAGGGTGTGCGAATAATTTTGTTGACACAGTTTACATTTGGTCAGGTCTACATCAGCAGATAATGAGAATTCCCAGAGATACTTGTAACCGAGTCTAAGCCGAGCAGTAGTAACATCTAGGAGTCTGCTGATTTTATTGGATGATCCATAGATGTGTGGCTCCTCTTGCATGATAGTATGATGATAGATGGAATTACTGGTGTCAATTTCACTTTGCCTCAGATCTACAAGATTTTGTTGAAGTTCTTGGTGTACTATTGCTCTCAGATCTTGCTCATAGGCAATCCAAGGTTACACTCAACGGCTCCTTTAAAGGCAGATTCTTTGGCTAACTTATCAGCTCTATCATGCATTCGGAGGCCAACATGAGATGGAGACCACATGAAATGGACTCTGTTACCATCCTTAATAATTTTGTTGTATTTGTGTCTAGCTTCGGACACGAGCATGTTACAGTTATGTCTTAAAGAGTTGAGAGCATTTAAGGATGATAAGGAGTCACTTACAATTAATGTATCAAGTTTTGAGACTTGTACACATTTCAGTGCAAGGATCAAGGCAAATAGTTCAGTCTGAAGGGTAGAGGCCCAGTTGTTTATACGGACTCCCCACTCAAAGTATAGGCCATCGCCCATTGTCAGGACAACTGCACTTCCAGCTGAACCCGTGGTGCGATGTAGGGAACCATCAGTGTATATAATTTGAGAGAGAGAATGCTCTGTGGACAGCATCAATATGGCTTAAGGTCTTGTATGAATACGATACATTGACCATACCTTGGCCAGGAGTGCAACCTGGTAATTTGAAAATGAAAAAAAATGAAAATAAATTTTGTTATTTTTTTTTTCAACAACAGTAAGTTAAGGGTCCTCTAGTAGGATAGGTGGGCAGGAAATTTTCATAAAGTTTAAAATTTGTATCAAAAATGATAATTGAAGGTTTCCTCTCCTAACCTTTCCGAGTAGGCCGGACGACTCACAGAAAACGGGACAGTACGTCACCTTTGTGAGTAATTTCATTTCAAATTACGTCCACTTTTGGCCATAGCGCGCATACCAGCCAAAAGCGACGTTATTTTTAAGAGGACGGGTTGAGGAATGACGGGTCGATGCTCTGGGACACTTGGGACAACAGCAGGGAGCCGGTCGGCCGAGCGGAGGGAGCCGGTCGGCCGAGCGGACAGCACACTGGACTTGTGATCCTGTGGTCCCGGGTTCGATTCCGGGCGCCGGCGAGAAACAATTGGCGGAGTTTCTTTCACCCTATGCCCCTGTTACCTAGCAGTAAAATAGGTACCTGGGTGTTAGTCAGCTGTCACCGGCTGCTTCCTGGGGGGTGGAGGCCTGGTCGAGGGGACACTAAAGCCCCGAAATCATCTCAAGATAACCTCAAGATAACCAAGCAGGTGTGGTCAGTCGCGTGAAATAGTGTAATATGCATATATTTAATTTTGTGTAAGAAAACGTGGTAATTAATAATAGGATTGGAGAAAGTTAAGAAGTGAATAATGTTGAGTACTAAAAGTGCTACACAGGAGGCGTAGACATACAGTAATTGTTAGTGTGTGAGTGCGTATGTTATAGACATCAAGAAGAGAAGGGTGTAGAGTTGAAGCAACATTATATTTTGAAAGGAGGACTGAGATGCACTTTAGGTTTAGCGTGTATTATCTACCTGTTACCTGTTATCTACCTGTTATCTACTTCTCAGCCATCCCGGACCAATCATAATTTGGGAGCCGGTCGGCCGAGCGGACAGCACGCTGGACTTGTGATCCTGTGGTCCTGGGTTCGATCCCAGGCGCCGGCGAGAAACATGGGCAGAGTTTCTTTCACCCTATGCCCCTGTTACCTAGCAGTAAAATAGGTACCTGGGTGTTAGTCAGCTGTCACGGGTTGCTTCCTGGGGGTGGAGGCCTGGTCGAGGACCGTGCCGCGGGGACACTAAAAAAAGCCCCGAAATCATCTCAAGATAACCTCAAGATGTACGGCACCAGGAGGCCTTTAACACCAAGTTTCACACACATTTATATTATCTACGGAAGGTGTAATGTTTCCTGTATACACGATCATAATTTGGGTAAAGAACAAAATGATAGCATTACTAATTAGTATAATGAAGTGCATCCAGCTGACGTTGGCGGTAAGGCCTAGTCGTTGTTGTTATAGATTCAGCTACTCGGAACAAGTTCCAAGTAGCACGGGCTATGGTGAGCCCGTAGTGGACTTACCTGGCACAGGAGGGGTGCCGCCTAGTCGTATCTTTGTCTAGGTCAAACTGCTCTCCCCGCACTATTGACCCTCGGAGTCGTGTAAAACCAGAGGTGAGGTTCCTATTGATACTGGGCAGCGTTGACCCCTGGTGGCCGCTTTTAGAACCCATTTATACCATGATGGTATAAATTGCTGTTTACCTAGCAGTAAATAGGTACCTGGGAGACAGCTGCTACGGGCTGCTTCCTGGGGGGGGGGGTGGTGTTAGCAAAAAGAAGGCCCGGGGCCAGATTCACGAAGGGACTTACGCAAGCACTTACGAACGTTTACATCTTTCCTCAATCTTTGACGGCTTTGGTTAAATTTATTAAACAGTTAACAAGCATGAAAACGTCCCATTTAACTGTTGTTACTGTTATAAACAGCCTCCTGGTGCTTCGGAGGTCATTAACTGTTTAATAATTGTAAACAAAGCCGCCAAAGATTGAGAAAAGATGTACAGGTTCTTAAGTGCTTTCGTGAATCTGGCCCCTGGTCGAGGACCAGGCCGCGGGGATACTAAGCCCCGAAATCATCTGAAGATAACTTCATAACCAAGGTAATTGGGAGAGGAGTTGTCAGTCACAGTAGCAAGGTTTTATCCCTGTCTGAGCAGCTGAGATAAAAGGAAACTTGCCGACTCGTTTGTACTGTTTGTACTAAAGATAAAGAGACTTGTTTGTTTACACATCAGTTTGACCACAATTGTCGCAAATGTTGTCGTGACTGTTAATGGTCGACCAGCTTGAGTGCCTGGACCTTGCCGGAGGTGAAGTGTGAAGACTTGTTAATACTGTGATAGACGTGAGAGGGTGACGAGGTACAGTGTGCGCCTCTTGGCGAGAGACTGCTGCCGGATCCCTTACCTGGTTGATACCTGGTTGATACCTGCCTGATACCTGGTTGATATAGATCCCTTCTATATCAGACTAATAATTAGCGCCACCGCTGACACTCCACGCTGGGTCTGCGTCGCCAATAAATCCACCCTCAAATTAATGAAACAAATAGTTGTGTACACACACTTGTGCTTACCTCCTTCACCCTTTGTAGTCCCTCCTCCCCCTTATCTACCTACCTTCCCCCCTTATCTACCTACCTCCCCCCCTTATCTACATACCTCCCCCACCCCCTTCCTCCCCTTATGTTGTTCCCTTCCTCCTCCACTCCCCTCCTGATTTCCTCCCTTTCTCCAGTCCTCTGTACTTCCAATCCCTTCTGCACCCCGCCCTCCCCGTTCCTCCTCATTCGTGGGCGTCTCTTCACCCCCCCCACAGAGAGCCACTCCCTAGTTAGCCAGCTAACAGTTCCTGTGTCACCACCTGGCACCGCCTGGCACTGCTTGGCACCAACCTACACATTTCATCACCCAGCTGTTGTACGACCTTCACTCTCGCTCAATATGTCCAACTGCTTGGGCTGGACGGTAGAATGACTCGCTTCATGCAGGTCGTCGTTCAATCCCCCGACCGTCCAAGTGGTTGGGCACCATTCCTCCCCCCCCCGTCCCATCCCATCCCAAATCGTTATCCAGACCCCTTCCCAGTGCTATATAGTCTAATTGCTTGGCGCTTTCCCTGATAGTTCCCTCCCCCCCTCACCCATTCTCTCACCTATCCCCCGCCCTCTCCCTTCTCAGCCATCCCGCACTTGGAGCAGCAGCAGCACACTGTGAACGTGTCACACCAAACTAATAGAGAGAGAAGAAAACAACATGGAAGTGTGTGAAATGTGGACCCATCCGACATTAGCAGACTTTCCCATAGGGAAGAGTCGAGGAATAATCAGTAATGCCTTACTACTTGCTAAGTTATCTTGAGGTTATCTTGAGATGATTTCGGGGCTTTTTAGTGTCCCCGCGGCCCGGTCCTCGACCAGGCCTCCACCCCCAGGAAGCAGCCCGTGACAGCTGACTAACTCCCAGGTACCTATTTACTGCTAGGTAACAGGGGCATTCAGGGTGAAAGAAACTTTGCCCATTTGTTTCTGCCTCGTGCGGGAATCGAACCCGCGCCACAGAATTACGAGTCCTGCGCGCTATCCACCAGGCTA